GCGTCGTGTCCGTGCTTCGGGACGCCTACTGATAGCGAGCCCACGGCGAAGGTCAACGGATGACAGGGTGCATGTGCACTGACCGCATTGTTCGATAAGGACGCTTCGCCAAGGGGTCCCCGGATGTGGAGAGCTGGGATGGAGGACGTGGAAGGGGGAATGAATGCATGAATGTGTCCTTCACAGTGGGGAGACTTCATCTGACGAATGGGGGTCGTGATACGAATGGTTGACGACGACACTGGTTGCGTCGTACCACTGTTCCCACTTGAATAGATGGAGAATATGACGCAACGATGGCCTCCGCGCGCTCGAACGTGCAGGGTAAGCTCGTCGCGCACCTTGTTCATGGATATTACGCTGTCAACGTACCTATCTCTATTCCATACTGTCGGCGCCGGCCTAGGCTCGCGGAGTCGGGAAACTGACATGGTGGAGATCGGGCATCAGTCAGAAGAAGTCGCATGCGTCAGTGGCGAGATGTTCGCAAAGTTCAGAAGTTGCAAGAAGCAATTCTAGTTGCGCATAGCCCCGGAAGGTACACTGCCTCGAGAATGGGAGAGGAGTATGTAGGAGGCCTGCGCTTGTTTTGCTATTAGGTACTAGGATGCCGTACTTCCCGGTCAGTTGTCTGTCATGAGCAACTGGAGTAAGTACCGATATGATGTGGTTTACGACGTAGCTCACCGTCATTGAATAACGAAAGAAGAATTCCGCAAGGTGCTAGACTGTTACGGCACGGGTTTCTGTCCGAAGCAAGACGGAACATCATCCCAACGTCAGCATAGATACTCGTCCTCGTTCGACTGAGTGCTGCCGAGCTTCTCGACAATGTTGCGCAGCCCCTCTGGCAAAGATGTACATCGACGCGGTTGATTTTGCCACCTAGAACTGTCTAGAAGACCCTATCCGTGTACGCCAAATGTCAGCGGGAGAAGCAGGACCATGATGATAATGAAAGTGCATATATAAAGCTTGTCAGATGCGCCGAGCCGAGGTCGATCCGTCTGCAAAGCGTCCGAGCGTCCATGCTTCTGTAGTATCAACAATTCCGACGGTCTGCTGAGTGACCACCGAATGCGGACCACCTCAGGCCACCCGCAGCGGACTACACATAAGCCTTGGTTGTGAAAGGTCGTGTACGGGGAGCCGAGGGCGGGACGCCGTGACCGCGATTATCAGCTGCCTCGAAGCGGGGTGCGTAGGGTAGCAGTGGAAGTATATTCCTGGACATGCCTCGGATCAGTTCAAACAGAGCAAACAACGAGGTGGACATGAATAGGACTGCCGGCTCCCATAATAGTCGGCCATGAGGCGATCATGGCGAGCCACAATGCCATTGGTCCGCTGACACGGCAGATGACACGTATAGCGGAGAGGGGAGGAATACGTAGGTTCGGAACGCGCATGCGACAGGCCGATAGCGGTGGTATAGGTGGTGAACCGGCATACGAATATTGTTCGTTATGAAGTATGTTGCAGTATGGCGTCGGTCGCGACGGCTTGCACCTGTGTAGGTCTTCTGTCCCCCCTGCATCTATCAGTGGCTTGATTGGACCGCATGTCAGGCTACTTACCACATACCGGGGTTCGGGTTGGAGACGTAGTCAACATCGTTTCAATGCGCTGGCGCTGGCATGGTCTCACCTCACCCAGTAAGCACTTCCGTGCGTCACAGTTTGGTCAGAGTTCTCGTGGAAGGCTGATGAACCTGATCATCGCCTGGCCAGATGAAGTTGTCCACGCGTTGGCAAGAGGTCATGTGTATGTACTTATTGCATGTCGAACTCTGGCCCATTGAGTTTAGGTTAAGAAGTTGACTGGTAGTTGAACTTACCTGGTTGTCAATGTCAACGGGGTGATTCGCATCGATGGCGACCGACAGTTCCCCGTCGAATGCCCAGCACAGACTGAGACAAGGCAGGCAAGTCCCAAGCGAGAGGGCCGATAGGAAGGCTGTACTTAATATGTTTCCGGCGAACGCAGTGAACGGCTGGTACGGTGACTGTGAGAGCGTAAGCGCCCAACTTGCGCGGAGCGCGGACCCGGACTTTGCCGGCTGGTCTCCTCGTTGGCAGCCTCAACGTGTTACCATGAACACTCCTCAGAGTCAGGTTCGTCTCATACCTCCTCAGTCTGAACAAAGTCTGACGGGTATCCTCAATCTACACGGTGGCCTGTGAACTGTCTTTTTGGCGGCTTGACGACGTTTAGTTGCTTGGCTGGGGTTCCCTGATCGCTGCGGCGGGCGTGAGCTACTACTATGCTCGCCAGAGCATAAACGAACGTCGCAAGGCACAGGACCTTACTGGAGCAAGGCCGTCAGAGAAGCTGGACTGTATGTGGTCTTGTGAGATCACTGTTATGCTGTCTGACATTGCTGTTTCACACAGGGCGTGCACGGATCGCCCAGCAAGAGCAGAACGCAGGTGCAAGCGAAGGTCTCGGCTCTACACCAGCTGTAGGACAGGCAGGCTCTACAACAGCTGTAGGACGGGCAGACTCTTCAAAAAGCGGTGGATCATCAGCACCGAAGTAGTGCCTCCCGCGCCGCCCACGTTGCGGCTTGCCAGCTCAGTCGATACGGTAGTCAATGCATAGACGAAGGGCACCATCATGCGCAGGTGATGTTACCCAGGCTTTTCATTCCTCGCTATGTGCACTAGCTCCAAAGGGACAGGTTGAGCGGTGCCGTTGTCGGCATGGTCAGACTGATTATGGTGTTTTAGGTGAGTACCCCATCGCGATGGAGACTTCAGTGGCGGACGGCTGTGAGGAGACACGCGTCAATGACTGAACACACTGTTGCGTAGCCTCGTCCACAACTATGCAACCGCTTGCATCGTGGTGGCTCGATTTACCGGTTCATTGCTAAGTCAAGGATTAGGACAAGGCTGTCCCTACAGCGCCTCCACTTGATCGGGTTCAGTAGAAGCGGATGGAACAATCTTGAAGATAGAATCGATGTCCCACTGATGGACAACGTCTCCTCTTCATCGTCATCATCCGCTGGACGTGATGTGTGTGCACAATCACTGTACAGTGGACGCTGACTTAGTCCCTAGTTGGCATCATTCATCCCTGCCGTCTGATTCTGCATCGAACTCTCTGCTTTCTGCTTCGAACCTTGCGTCGGCTGAGATGGTCGTCGACGTCCGTTCTCAACTTCCTGCGCGTCGCCGAATGTATGCGCACGAAAGCGCAGTCTGTGTCGTTCGGTATGATATTGAACACTGCTGGGATGCGGCTTGCCAGCGCGGTGGGCTAATATACCTGGCTGCTACTAGCTCACACATCTGATACCTCTGCAACAACCAGCCTGAGCTGAGGAGCGGCATACGTCAACCTTACAGTTCTGTCAGACACCCGTCGTGATGAACGCTAACACACTTAGCAATCCAGAGTTCATTTTCAACCACCACAGTGATGGTCGGGGCGGGATTTAAGCAATCTGTGGTTGTGGTCATACTTTCATCGTGCACCGCCGTCTGAACTCTTGTATGAAGCTTCTAAGGATTCTCTCAGGGAACAGCACTCAAGCAATCGAGGCGACAGCAACGTTCCACCTTCGCTCACTCCGGCCCCTTCCTTATGTCCTCCACGCCCAGCGCACTCGTTCAGGACGAGTAAGTCGTCTGACCATCTACTTCGCCTGAATCCTGATCGAGTCGTCTGAAATACCTCATAGCCGTCTGCTGAACTATATGTGCTACGCAGCGACGGGTAAGTCGCCTATCCATTACGCGCATACGTACCCGCTCACAGACAGATCTCAGCGCTCTGCTGCTACGACTACTGCCTGACGTTCGGGCGCGAAGTCGAGCACATGTGGAGGAACAAGTTGACTGCAGCCTCCGCGCTGTTCTATACGTTCAGGTACACAGCATTGCTCGATATCATCGTCATCATGCTGGGCTACCTGTCCTGGCCGAGCTGGCAGACCACACGTGTGCGTATGCCAGACATGATTCTTGAGATTGACCTTTGTTCTATGAAGCGTTTTGAATAGAGGTCAGTGCGATGTATCCCGTCCGGCGTTCCCGGATGTTGATTGCCCGGAACTTTTCAAGTTGCGTGATCGTCATCCGCCTACAGATGGTTGGAGACGTGCTCATACTGACAAGCGCAGCAGGTGGGCTTTGAGTACGGTGAATGTATGCGCTTGGTCTGACGCCATCTGCCTGTAGTCTTCGCATCTATGCGCATATATGCGCTCTTCTATCAAAGTCGGACATTGTTCGTCCTGATCCTCGTACTTGGCATGGTCAACCCGGTGATATCTATGGTCAGTTCCCCGCGTTGGAGCTAATATATGCGCGTCTCTGATCCAGTATTTGCAGTACACCTTCATAAACTCCACGCCGATACTTTTCCACGTCACCCCAACTTACCAGACGTGTAGTATCGATACAGCATATATATCCAATTTGTACGTGATAATATGCCCATGTAATCACGAGTGTAGCCCTGACCGCGCATAGCTGTATGTGTATAGAACGCTTTCAAATCTGGCTGTGGTATGTGCTTACTGTCTGCAAGGTATGCTCGGAGCGAGGATATCGTCGGTCGTTTCCGACAGTCTCGTCCTTATCCTGACGTGGAAAGGCACTCGAAACGTCGCAATATCGCGTGAATTGAAGAAGACCCTCGTGACTATGGCGTACCGTTTGACGCTTTATTATCCCAGATCTAATCTTTGTAACACTCTATATCTAAAACTTTCGTGCATCGTATATATAAAACTATCGACACTCGTATATCTAAAACTGTCGACACTCGTATATCTAAAACTTTCGTGGCTCGTATATCTAAAACTTTCGCATTGCCAACATATCTAACAAGTCTTTGGCGCCCACCATCGTACTTATGATACTCGCTCACAACAATATATTGTTCTCGCGCGACACGCTCAACGCGACCGACGACGCGTGATGAGCGTTGTGCGTCACGAGCCCGCGTCGGCGGTGTGCGCTCCGAGCGCTGCTCTCGACCGCCACCACCTCGTCCTGACCTCGTCTGACCGCGATTCGGGCAGCCACACCGACCGCCCGACTGCACTAGGGGCATGCGGCGACCCTGCGCGTGGACAAGACCGCTCCTCCTTCCTCGCCTGGTCCCCAAGCTCGCACGAGGCGCGTGAAGTCCAGTGCCAATCCACAGAACCACGAGAACGCGGAGCCGGGAGCGCAAAGGGAGGCGAAGGAGGAGAGAGGAGAGGAGAGGAGAGGGAAGGGCACAGGTCAAGCAAAGGAAACGAGCACGAAGGCTCGTCCACCACAGGTATGTCTTTGGAGGACTTCTCCGCCTCGCCGCCTCCGCTCCTAGTGCCGGCCCCAGCAGGCATACCAGAAGGCGATCATCACAGCCGACAACGTGCGTGTCTCGATAAAGATCCTGCGACGCAGCACTCACTGATCTTCGGGCCACCGTTGCCCGGGCTTCTCACAGCGTCCGCGTCTTCCACAACCCTGCCTCTCTGCGGCGCCATTCGACTCTTCCCCGGGGTCGGTCCGTGACCGATGTCGCGTCCAAGTACTGGCGCCTCCAGTCCTGCGCTGGGTTCCATCACCAGTCCGACGCCTCCACCCGAGGTGGTCAGTCCGCGCAAGCGAGAGTGCGCGGGATTGGAGTGCGCAAACCCTAGCGAACCGACGATTATCCTGCACGATGCATATTCCCGTCCACACGCCTCGCTCCAGTGCAAGTTCGCATTCCACGTCTCCCTCCCGGTCTCCCCTCCCACGGGAATACCAAGAGAACATCGGTAAGGCGCGGGACGAGCACCCAGATTGGCGCGGACACCACTGGTATGCCCAGGTACTGCTCGCTATTGCGAGTCTGCCTCGAGTGGTCGAGTGGTGGGACGTTATCGGGTACGTGTGTGCATAACTTCATAGGTGGAATGATAACGTGCTGATCATCGTTCGCTTCAGAACGGACCAGGAGGACCTCATAGGAACATGGATATCGCGGTTGCTTGCTCCGGCTAGCTGGCATGCCTTCCGCGATGTGACTTGGCGGCTACTCGACGACGATTCACGCATCGTGGAGGTGCAATTCAGACTGGAAGTCATTGACACTGAACCCGGTCAGTCGTCGTACAATAACCTGTACCAGCAGGTGGTCGGAGATGCTCATGACGGAACGTGAGGAGGGTACACCGACGCATACAATGTGGGTCGCCAGGCCCATTGGTCAGTCGGACTGCCTGGAACAGCCTCCTCGAGTCCGGCGAGGTTGGTGATGAGCCAGCTCTGCTGAGGCGCCACAGGTAGGCTTTGGACATCAACAGGTGTACGAGCCTGCTACACTCTTCCTGTTCGCGTGGCCGATCAACGCCGCGCGATCCTCTGTCGCTTTTGCGAATGCGAGGTACCACAGTGGTACTTTGAGAAGCACAACGAGACGTGCGTGGAGGCGCACCAGCTCGAAGCTGAGATTGGTGAGTGCAACAAATCGATCAGTGAGCTTCGCAATACGATTCACGACCTGCTCGAGGAGGACGAGGATGACATAGGGTTGGAGAAATTGTATGCCCTCTGTATGAGTATGATTTGGGTAATGTAATGAGTTCTACATTGTAGTGATCCAAGTCAATAGAATGCTTGTATCTTCTCTGCCTGCCTACGAACATACAGCGCAGACATCATCTGAGCATGGATAATCACCAGTAAGAGGAGGAAGGTCATTCAACTCCTTCAGACTCTCCAACTGCTCCGCGAGCATATCCCTCTCAGTGTTAGCAGCTGCAACATCATCCTCCGCACTCTGCATATACTCTGCCTTTGCGCGCTCTGCATCTTTGTGCTTGAGGTACGACTTCCATGTACTTGCGAGGCGCGTGCTTGTGACGAAGGCTAGGCCTGCTTGGAGGATTGGAGCTTCGGAGCTTTCACGGAGTTCGCGTCGCGGCAGCCCTCCCGGGAGGAGACTCGTACCATGGGCATGCTCAGGCTGCCAGGCAACCATGGTGTTTGCTGCCTGGCGGACCTTGATACCGTATTTCGCCAGGTAGAACTGGCCCCCGCGCTTCATTTGGGGGTCGCGCTTCGTCGTCCACGAGAAAGCCCATTTCTGGGGCTGTTTCTCATTATGGATGGCTCTACATCGTGCTGTCAGAAATTGTAGTCCAGAGGAACAGTCAAACATACCTGGCGTAGTTGCATCCAGCAACGCCAGCCGGTGGCGCGAGCTCGGCGCCTCCAAACTCGACTCGCTGGTCACCCCACTGAACCACGTACTCGCCTTCAACATTGCCCCGCTTCTCATCGGCATCCATCCGGCACATATCGTTGTCTGCGAGGTAATCCTCGAAGCCCCGAAGGACCTCCTGCGGGAGGTGGACTCGCAGCAGAGCCCAAAATAGGGCAAAAACCGAGGAGATCTCGAAGTTGATGTCCTTCAAGTCATCCGGATCGTGCTTCTTCGACTTCAGATTTTTGGTCCAGTCGAAAAGAGGGTGGTTGCGAGCACCTGCTGTATACCCCAAGTTGACAATCTTCCCCGGATCCTCCAACTGTGGGGGACTTGTTAGCAGAATGAACTGAATACACTGGTAATATTACTCACCCTGACCGACTTCCGCATAGCCAATGCCAACTCCATCGTAGCATTCACCCCCTCCACCACGAGAGCGTCGCGGCAGAAGTTGCGAAGCACGATCATGATGATCTCGCCCGAGTCGATGTCTCGAAAAACGACATTCTCGTTTTCACGAACTTCATACGCTAGCCTTTCGGCTTCTTCCCGCTCAATCGGGTGCCTCTTGTGGCGGCGATCAGCCTGTTTGCCCTCCTCGATGGCGCGGGTCCAGCAGACGCGGATCTGCAGGGATTCTGCAACCCAGGTGTCGAACTCGGGGTAGACCTCCGATGCCTCGAGAGCCTTCACACGAACAGAGTTCGCGTTCTTGTTCAGCCAATATGCCTTGAGAGGCTCATCAAGGGGCTTGATCCCACCGAGTGCCTGCACGAAGAGGCGGATCGTTGTTCGGCGGCACTGAACAGCTCGGTTGCGAGCTTGTATCGCAGTTCGCAGAGCGCCAGGGAGGTCGCGGTTTGGATCGTTGGCCCAGGTGCAAAACCCTGAGAAGAGGTCCTTGGGCAAGTATGTCGGACTGGGCAGGCGAGATGCGAGCTGCTCAAGTAGAGCGGTGAATTCGCCCCGAGGCCGAGGATCGCAGGTTCGGGGAATTAGAGCGAGAGCGTGCTCATCACCAACTATAGAGGCGACAATGGAAGTAAAGGCCTGAGCCCGCACTGACTTTTCGGCTCTCTTCCCCATTGCAACTGAGCGGGCACGGAAAGAGCGGGTGCGGTCGCGAGCTGCAAGAGACTGGAAGGGGAGTCGCAGGGCGGCCAGCGGCTGCGCGCTTATTGGACCGCAATCTCAGATCTGGCGGTTCATCGCACGCTCAACGCCGGCGCCCTTCTTGCCCCTCTGCAGCTATCGCCACCTCGCCACCCCGCCTTCGACCAGCACCATCCCCGGCGAGCTCATGGAACGTGCGAATGCGCGGACTTGAGGGCGTGTTCGCTGAGTCGCGGGTTGCGTCGACGCGAGCTTCAAGGTACCCCGAGGACGCCCCGACTAGCGCAAGGACGGTACACGGCGAGGAGAGGTGTAGGGAGATCTGCAGAGAGGAGAGGAGAGTCTGCACGACTCCGGTGAGTGTTATGGTCCATCACCCACCACTCTCCTCACCCTGGCCTCCAAGTTGCGCGCTCCCGAACTTGTCCTCTCCACGTCCACGTTCCGCGTTCCCGCCCAATGCGCCCCGATCTCGTTCGACGCGCCCACCGCCTCGCCACCCGTCCACTGCCACCCGTCCACTGCCACCCGTCCACTCGCTCGCCCTTCAGCACACTCCGCACGCGCGTCGGGCACAGGAGCCCCGTTCAACGCGCTTGCGCCCCTCGAATCCCAAGTCACGCCCACTTGCCAAGTCTCCGTCCGCTCTCGGATCGCCTGCCCTCGCATTCAAGAACAACATCGGGCTGTGCGGAATCGCCGCGCGCCCGGTAACCTTGCCGTCCCCGCGGCTCCGGAGTTCGAGGTCGAGCGGCCGCACAACGCCAAGCGGGAGAAGAATCGGACCTACTCCAGTGAGTACCGAAGCCACTCGCCCTCAACGTCCCTCTCCTCCACGACCGTGTTCCGCGCATCCTTCCTCACTCGACCCGCCTCCATATCCGCCACCTGCATCTTCTCCTTCACATCCGTGCTCTGCACGTCAACCCTCGAGCTGCGCACCCCTATCCTCGTCCTACGCGCCCTCGACCGGAACTGGCCCCACAAGCAGCTGTCCGGCGGACGAAGACTGGGATGTGCGGACTCCCCGCGCACCCAGTAGTCGCCCAGCCACCTCTGCCTCACCACTCAAGGTCGTACAAATACGCGGCGCCGAGTTCAGCGCGCCACCGCGTGCATCGAGAGGATGCGCTCATGGACACCTACCTCGCGCTGCAGGCGTCCACCATCTTCCAGCACGTCGGCGTCATGATCTACGTCTTCTAGGGTCGAGTGGCGCAACATGCCCAAGCCTGGACCTCCAGTACTACCGCGACTGGCTCGCCGCGCTCCAGCAGTACAGCCCCGACGCCGCCGTCTTCCTCCTTGTGCACAAGATGGAACTCGCCAGCGGCTCGCGTGCGCAGACCCTCGAGACGAAGGCACTTGAGCTTCAACAGGCAAGTGGGAGCGTGTCTATGACCGTGTTCGGGACGAATTATACGACGAGAGCCTGTACAAGGTGCGCCACTCCCTCAGCCTCTACTCAAATTCTCCTCACGCGAAGCTTTAGGCGCGGTCCCGGATAGTCCAACCTTGATTCTAAACGCTGTCGTCCTCTCCAAGCACCTCACCACCCTCGCGCACGCCTGCAGCGCAACCGAAGTGATCCCCTTTGAGCGTACCACCTTCCTCGTTATCGCGACCTCCTCTCCTCCTCCCTACGCGCCGCTCGTAAGCTCCCCGTGCTCTCCTCCCCATCCTCCTCGCACGCCACAACGAACGGCCTGCTCACGCCAACCTCGCAGAGCTCACTCCCTGCACGGGAGTCCGAGCTCGAGGCAGACGCGGACGCACACCGGCTCTTGCCGGCGCGCTACGAGCGCACGTCCGAGCTGATCAAGATGTTTTCTCAAGCACGCGTGCTCGCACGTGCGCGAGGAGTTCCACTCACTCGAGATGGAGCTGGACGAGTTCACGGTGGTGCTCGACGAGCTCACGAAGAACGTGTACGTGCTCATCGCGGCGCATGACCCGACAATAGGTGCGTGGGTCTCGGAGAATGCATGATGGAGTGCGGTGTTCATGGATGCTTGCAGACTGCGGCGCTGAGGATGAACATCCGGCTTGCTCGGAAGAAGTTCGAGGTGCGCGCGGCGAGATCATGGTGAAGGACCACGATGAGGAGTTGCCATTCGGCACGGCGGTACAAACCAGCGGCTTAGCGTGTACGCCGGGCGAGTTCTGGTCCGCGTAAGACGCGCTGTTCGTGGCGCTGGAGGAGACACAGTGGAATCATAACGCTCGAGGAGACAAGGACACCGTCCGCGAATCCGCTCGATCTGCTACTGGGCCAGGTTCAGTTGGACCAGGTCGGCAGTCTGACTTCGGGCCCTCTGATCTCCCTGACGGTCGCAAGGAACCCGTGGATGTTCGGCCCCGCGGTCGACGACTTAGTCTCGAAGATCGACTTGGACCACCGTACAATGACCGCCACGCTTCCCTAGCTCCGCCGCGTGCGCTGCTTCCTCCTCGACCCGCCAATCGTGATGTCTACATCGAACCAACTCGGCACTCCGACTATCGTGGCGTCCGCGAAGATGGCATGCCTGCCTGGGATCGCCCAGGCGCCGAACCTTCCCGCGAGGTCTCCCCCGCCAATAGCGCAACCAACATTCACCCGGATCGTGCACGCCTGTTGCAGACTGCACAGGCTCCTCAAGCATCAGAGGAACCGGTGAAGACGTCCAAGCCTGCCCGTATTCGTCGTCTACCCCGATCGCAGAGGAATCACCGGTAGCTGGTAGACTACTTCCGGACGAAGCCTCTGGGCGTGCGGCAATAGTTCGCGTTGACGGCCTGACCTGATGAGGTGCACAGAGTCGTCGCTTCTCGGCAGACTCTCGCGCAATGATACTAACTACGCCTCTTTGCGAGAGAGCGGATCTCTCTTCAAAGCAACCGGGCCTTAGGGCGGACATAGCCACGGCGACTTCGCGATGGACACTGATATGGAAGGAGGTGCAGGCGATGCGCCGCGAGCCAATGGAGGAAGGAGACGTGGTTCAAGGCCGAAGTGCGGACGAAGGAGCGGGTACCCGGCATGAGAGCGATGCGCATGCTGCCGGAAGATGAAAGCCAACACGTCTTGATGGGTTTGGTTGCGCATGGTTTAGGTTCGTGGTCGTCTTCGCGCTGCCAAATGGCTATTCAATATCTCGCAATACAATTTTCAGCCTCAAGTCATCGACGACTGCTGCCTGAGACCGGGAGTATGCAGCTCCTCGCGCGGAAGCATATGGGTCATGAGGGGAAGACACACGGCTCCCGCCGGTCGTGCTCAATGGTCACTATGCACTTCCCCATCTATCTCTGCTCTCGTGCCTCTTACACCGAAGTAATCAAGGAAAGTGGAGCTTGCGCACAAGAGCTGAGAGGACTCAAGTGAGTGCGCCCGCCCGTGAGACCTCGCCACCCTTCTCTCCTCTGCCTTGCACTACGCCTCCCTCTCCTGCACGTCCGTATCTTGCGCACCCCCGCACTCGATGCGCTTCCACTTCCGCCCTCTGGCTCTCCGCGCCCGCGCTCCGCACATCAGCCTTCGAGTCATGTGCCCTCGTCCGACGCGCACTCGCATCTGCCCGTTCAGCGCGCACCGGACGCAGGACTCTCCGGGCGGCCCTGCGCTCTCAGGCGCCCCTGCTCGCCTTCAACGGACCCTACACGCCTATGTTCCGCGCTTCCGCACTTGCCCACCGTACCCTCGGCGGCCTTCCAGACGAACGCTGTGCTGCGCGATCTCTCTGCGCGCCCAGTGGTCGCCCCGTCGTCCCCGTCTCACCTCGCCGAGTCCGCGGAGCCTGCCAGCAGAGTCGACGTGGCCGCGATCACGAAAGAAACGCGCGAGTGCGGCGTAGTGGGCGTATGCGACCGTGTTCGATGCCGGCGGGGGCGGGCAGCATCAGCTACTCGGGCCGGGTCGCTCGCTCCCTGATTCAGAATCCGCAGGCCGTTCTTTGTGGGCTGCGTCCGACGCCTCGAGCGCGGCGGACGTGGAGGTGCACCATCTCGCGGAGATGGCAGGCAATGGCGCGCAGACTTAGTAGATAGACGCGTAGCAGTAGCAGCAGAAAATCGCAGAGCAGTAAAGGAGACCACGCCGCGGCCGAGGTGCGCGCGATGCCCGCCCTGGCCAATGGATTTTCTCGGTCAGTTGGGCGACCTCCGCTAATCTGAATGTTTTCTGAGGTACAATATTATGAGTGTATCATACTCACAAGTTTTGCTGCTGTTGGGTGTGATGATTCAACGAGGATAAACGACTTGAGTTTCGCTGGGAGGCAGTATTGGCAGGCGCTTATTTATGTATCTCGGGCAAGTGGCTCGCCACGATCGCGAATGAGCCATCTTTGCGCTGCGTTCCTCTTCCTCTTCGCCTTCCCCTCGCGTTCGTGTTCACTCCGCCGCGCGTTACTGCCCCTTCCCTCCTCCGCAGCTCCATCGTGTCTCCGAGCTCCGCACTGATATTTCCCGTCCTCGTGCATTGCTCGATCCGGGCTGGTACATTCAATCGAGGAGCTCTGATACTCAGTGAGCCAATACACCTCGATATCGCACGACGTCGCCCTCGGTCCGGAATGGGCGACCCAGGTCGAGTCCGACGACCTACACTCTGGCGAGGGGCGAGGGGCGAGAGATGGTATGCGGGCTGGACAAGGAGCTCACGAGCTCACTCAGCAAGTGCCCCACAACTGCAAGCCAAGGCCACGAGCGCGGTCTCGTCCGGTGCACAAGAGCCCGGTAGGCGAGACTCGCCGCCTACGACGACTCGTCCGACAAGCAACACCTCAGTGAGCAGGTACCGGTGGGCAGGAACTGGGCACGCTGGAGGAGATGCTGGAGGAGGCGCAATCGTGGTACGTGTTCTGCGCCAACCACAACGACTCCCAGCTCACGAATCAGCTCGAGGACCAGGTCCGCGGTGGCGAAGACATATATCCATGTTTGCGGCGGAGATGACGCCCGTAGAGCTCGTATATCGGTCCTACAGTGGGCACCTCGCGGTGCTCAATGCGCGTGAAGGCGAACCACGGGAACACATTGAGCAAGCGCATACGGAGTTGGTTCTCAATGAGAACGATCTCGTACTCCCACCAAGGTGTGTACCTTCCTGTTTCGTACACACCGATGACTGAAGATGCCGCTAGTCCGACGTCCCTCCAGGCTCTATTATGATCTTCTTCAAGCACTTTGACACGTCCAAGCAGACACTGTATGGTGCCGGCAATATACAGGTGCAGCGGGCCAGCAAGGTCAGCGACCTTGTGCCGATGGTCAACGAGCGGATGCGATGGACGCCGGGGACGCCTGCGAAGGTCTATGAGGTATGGACTTTACTCGAACCCGATGCAGTACTACGACTTCCTGCAGAACAGGGTCATGGTTCTCTTCCTGCCGAAGTTCGAAGAGCCCGTTCATGATCATCCGGAGTTCAACCTCATCCTCAGCAAGAAGCAAACCTACGATGCTGTAAGTGACCTTGTCCGTCCGGCCGAGTTGCATTACTGATCATCCGTGGGTACATGTCCGCGAAAGTAGGCGAGCACCTACGGCACAACCCATTCAAGCTGCGGTTCACGACGGCGCACGCGACGAACGGCACGCCCAAGTCGACCCTCAAGCGGTCCCCGAACCAGCCCGCCGCAGAGATCATCTCGCCGACGATCTACGTCAGCCCGCAGGCGACGACGGTAATCCTCTACGAGAAGCTCGACGTGAGCATCGTCGGGCTCGAGACGAAGCGCAGCCTCAAGGTCGTCTGGGCGGGCGATGGGCGAGGCTGGTAAGAAGCTCGTTGTGTGCGTACGTCGCGTTCGCCCTTTGCCTTTCACTTCTCTCATCGTTCTGGCAGACCGTGTATGTGCCTGCAGCTCGTCCTGGAAGAATGAACCATCCTTGCAGATGCCAAGGTACGCAGGCGGCATCCGCGCAGCAGTGAGACCAGCATTCATGTTCACACCGACTCCGCAGGCAAGAGTCGTTCCCGAGCATCGCAACTTATGGAGAAGCGCGGTCGCGGGATGCCAAACTCTAGCACCTCGTCCGGTATCGGCGACAGTCCAAGTGTGGTAAGTTGAACACCGCGGTCTGCTAGTGCTCCACATGGTTGTCTACAAGTTCGAATCGAGTGGCGAGTCGCCCTGCTGCATCACGAGAAGCACGATAGGTGGCAGTGCAGTGACCCGCTCGAGGCGGAGCAGCAGAGCAGCGCTGCCGGCGCGTCATTTACGATGGTGGTTTGCGTAGTTAGCACGATCCCTCCCACCACATGCTGGTCCTAATAGCATCTCACAATTGACTGGGGGCCTTGCGACGACAATGCTGATAACACGCGCAAACAACTGGTGCTGGTTCGCGCACATCTGATTGTCTGCATCGCGTCGCTGGTATGGCCACCATCCCTCAGCTCCCAGTGAACCCAGCTAGTGGTCAGAGGGTATGGTCGAACAATGTCCATGCTGCTCATCCTCGAATCTCTAACCTCTGCGACCACATTACGACACTACTTCGCCAGGAGGAAGGTGACCATGTCCGCTTGGGCATCTGTGTGGACCGCTTGGAGAGCCAAGTCATCCCTTTGGTCAAGGAGGTAGCACGAGAGCTTCTGAAAGAAGGGGTTCGGGACTGGGTTGAAGATGTATGCGGTCAGATCGGCAGGATGAGAGCGAGCCTTCAACTAGCAATTGAGGCCAATACTGAACGGTATGGGCTGATCTTTACTGGCTGTACCACATGTATAGCAGTCTTGCTGACATGAACGACACAGGGAACATCGTGATGTTGTCATGCTCAACCCGGTCACTGTCGAACACTCGCGCAAGCCTGGTCGTCCAAGGAAGGTAATTAGCAAAGCGTGGCTGCAAGAGACGTTCGCTCCGTATCGCAAGATCTCAATTCAGCAAGCTGCTGATGCACTTGGGGTTCATCGGTCCACAGTCACTCGCTGTATGGCTACCTACAACATCTCGGTAGTGTATACTCCTCTTCTTGATGAGGAGATAGACCACTTGATCCGAGCTTTCAAAATCGAGCGGCCTAACGCTGGAATTCGCCATGTTCATTCCTTCTTCCGAGCGAACTGGCTGCGAGTTCAGAGGCTTCGCATCTCTGACTCGATAAAACGAGTGGATGCTATAGGTGCAGCCCTCCGCCGCAATAAGACTGTTCGGCGCCGTGTTTACACTGTTCCTCGGCCTAATCACCTGTGGCACATTGACGGCCACCACAAGTTGATTCGATGGGGCATTGTCATTCATGGAGGTGTTGATGGCTGGGATGATTTCGTGCGACTGCTGCTCCCATTCAGTTGGCATTCACTGACCATGTGCACTCCAGGTTGTGTGGATGCGAGCTGCAAACAACAACTTGCCATCAACGGTGCTTCGTGGTTTTGTGAGGGCCACTAAGACTCACGGCTTGCCACTCCGGGTCCGAGGCGATCGTGGTGGCGAGAACATCTTGGTATCAGCATACATGATCATGGTGCGGGGTCCAAATCGAGCATCATTCATGTTTGGGTCGTACGTCTACTTTCTAATGAGAGCATCACTGTTACTGAGACTACCTGTAGCTCGATGAGGAACCAGAAGATTGAGCGGACATGGGTCGATGTCGGCGAAGGCTTTGTCCGGCGCTGGCGGGTTTTCTTTACTCGCCTTGAAACTCGCCATGCTCTTGATGCATCGAATCCAGCACACTTATGGCTTGTGCAGAAGCTGTTCCTTGACGACATCAATGAGGATGCAGACAATTGGGTCAAGCACTGGAATGCACATGCTGTATCTGGGAAACATCGTAATCAAACACCATCGGTAGTTCTTCTCTTACGATTTGCAGAGGTTATTCTGATGACTTTCACTGCCCAGGATATGCGCCATTTGGCACGAGTCACTGTCGGCACATATGAAGACAAATACAAAAACGACGATGTCAATGACCTCACCGAGTACTATGGTGTTGACGGCACCCCGAAGCGCCGCAGGCTCGGTCAGACGGGTGCAGGGCACTCAGCGGACACGGATGACGAAGACGAGCCAATGGAGGACCAGTCCGATGGCGAAGCAGAGGATGCTTCTGATGATGATGGTGACGATGAAGTCAATGCCAGTGGTGCATGGGTCGCAGGGGATGAAGACGAGAGTGCTCATGAAGATGAGAGCAGTGAGGACTCGGACGGGGATCAGGGCGATGAAGACTGCGAGTCAGAGGACGACGAGTTAGTGGCCCGAATCATCGCTGACCAGGAGTCAAATATCCGCCATGCTGCTGTCAAAGTGGCACGTCACGCAAACCCGTTTCGTGATGAGGACAAGGAGGATGCTTTTTGGGCTACCTTGCAGGAGATCTCCGCCCTCAATTACCTTCCTCGCAACCTGAATATCCGCAACGACGAGTGGGACGACGAAGGCTACCCTACATATGAAGACCTTGCCGTCGGAAAGCGAAAGCAGTCTCTGCGCGTCGAGCTACCACATGCCTTGTGGCTTCCCCGCGCAGAGATTTGGTGTCGCGCAGTATCAATTCTCACTCGGGTGCTTGACGAAGAAGAGGCAGGTTCGGGCTCTGAGTCGGCAGAAGGCACTAGTAGTACAGGTATCGACGAAGACTAGTACCAAGTCTAGTATGCATGTGAATTGATTCGTAATTCCGACACTGCACATTGGCAGTGCCAGTGCAAGCGACACCGGGCAGGGCAGAGGCGGGCCCTGCGGGTGCATAGGCGCCTGTTCGTAAGTGCGGCAGCGATTTCAGCTTGTCCGAATAAGCCCTCGGACAGGCTGGAATCTGTCCTTTGCATCGAATACATGGAGGATCCAAAAAGAAACTCTGTTTTGAATCGTCGGCGCAGCCGCAACAGTTTGCTTCCGAATTCCCTAGTGAGCGCCGCAGGTCCGGCGCTTCAAGTTGGGTGATCGGTGGGTCGGTCGTGACTGCGCGAACTCAGACTTGGGCGCATGCGCAATCGCCCACGACGTCACCCCGCCCTGGGCCTGCATGCTGAGTCCTACTAGTACTGCCTGCCGCAATGCGCGACGTCTCTCGCACGGTGCTTCCTTGCACGGCGTAGTCGCATCCCGTGGCTTTTCTACGACCCGCCCATCCCTCCTCCTCGCCATATGCCCGTGTCCCCCTTTGTACCCTACCCCGCTGTCTACATCCACATACGTTCGGGTGCGCACGCCGCCTCTACGCCTTGACGCAGCACATGCAACACCTCCCCGCCTTGCATCTGGGAAACACCCTGCCCATCCTTTGCGACCGAAACATCGACTGAAGGACGGTAGCGGATCCTAGATCACGTCCCGTGCGAGCTCCCGCCGTGAGTCTGTTTCCGTGTTTCATTGTTAACTCACCACTCCACGTCGTGTTACTAGTCTTACTACTCCGGTGCTTCCGCCTAGGCACACTTGCAATCACAAATCTTCATCGTGCAGAAGCACTACTCGACACCGGCTGCGGAGTACGAACAAGGAGGCAGGGCCCGGCGCAACACAACATCAAGACGCTCAGCATGAAATGGAGATATACGAGCAGTCCGAGTCCGGCCTTAACACGATGCGTGGGTGAGTCAACTTCAAGAAGAGCCTGATTGCCGTGGGCGGTCTAACATTTGCTGCAGGCATACACCTCGCAACACATCGCGCTGCTCATGATGGCTCAGCAGCTGTCGAGTCCGACGATCCGATTTCTCTCGCAGCATCAGGCACAGATTGTCGATGGTCTCCATGTAAACCCGGACCAAATCCGCAAAGGGCGGCAGGAGCTCGATCATGCGGTGAACATCGTGCTGACGCGGGATGCGCTCTGCCTGAAGATGCAGGGCATAGGTCGTGAATGTCGTTTGCGCAGATTACCGCACGCAACATGCAGTCAGTCGATCGCCCTCTTTGCACCGCGAGTTCGTTTCCGCATTCTCATTCTCGACTCACCGCTCCGTAGGGTCGCCGAACGGTAGCGCGCATCTCATGCAGAACCTAGGGGGCGTGGTGTCTCATCCCTCCATCCCATTGAAGTCGCCCTTCCGGTTAAACCCCGCCTCGCCTTTTACTGGCCGTGATTCGCCTGCGCCCCCGGTTCCCCACTCTCGTCGCCTTACCGCAATGCGCCCGACTCTTGGCACTCTCGTCAATGACCGGGACCCGTTCAAGCTTGCTGAGACCCCGCACGAGCTGCGCTCCCCGCCGCGGGATCGTATGGGCTCTCAGACGTCCTGGCTCACCGAGCTGTCGATCGCCCAGTGGCTACAGCTTTGAAAACAGGATGAATGCTTCGAGTCTGACAAGTATGAAGCTGAAGATGATGCCGCAGAAGGCGATGAGGATGTGATGGTCTCGTCCGCTCTCGACGACCTCAACGAGGATGACGTGTTCGTTGGGCAAGGGGCTACGCCGACACCTCGGAACAACCGCTTCTCTCGGCGGGATTTGCACACATCTGCGCGCTCGCAGTCGAAGCGCCCCTCGTTCTCGACCGCGCGCCGGCCACGACCGCTGGGCTCGCCCCGGCGCCAGTCGTACTCCGGCCGCCTCTCCATGCAATGCCAGCGCTCATCACAATTCTCACCGCGCTTGCCCAACGAGGACCAGGGCACGCCACGCCTTTGCACCGGCGCGCTTCCGGGAGCACGCCCACGATCTTTGCGCATGCGGGTGTGCGGACGCCGCCCGCCGTCGTCGAGGCGCAGCAACTGCTCGCGCAGTTGGGTAAGCAAGGCCCTCCGGACGTTCTCGAGCCGAGTATGGAGAGGCAGAGGGACCAGCAGACCCTGCCTGCTGAGGCCGAGGCCGAAGTGCTGGAGAGGGAGCCCTCGCTTATGTCTTTGCTCCCTGTGGCGATCATCATTCAGTATGGGTTGTTGGCGCTCCATTCGACGACGCACGATCAGGTGTTCTACCTTTACCTCGTGTCGTGAGTTGCTTGACACTGTGTGTGGTGGTCCGCTGTACTGATTTTTTGCAACAGCAAATAGCCTCTGGGAGGACTCAACCTCAACGCAGGGCATTTCTCGCAGCTGAGTAAGTTATTTCGGCGCGCTGAGTGTGACTGGTAATATTCACGTAATTTTGTAGTTGCCTTGATGTGTTTGGCGCAGATAGCCTACCAGTTCTACTTGTACCCGCGAGCTAGACGCCTATTCTCTCATTCATCCCCAATTCTAACCCGTGTCTCGCCCACGTAGGAACATCGGGTGAGTATTTGTCCCATAGACCAGTTCATCAGCCCTGACGCATATGTCTAGCCCTCCGAGGGGTCGGTTCTCGCATATCGCGATGTTCCGCATTGGATCGCTCCTTTTCATACCAGCATACTTGTCTGTCATTCTGTACCGTGTGTTTGCAAGTTCAGACGACGATGGGAACCCGGTTCTCATGGCCGGTACGTATTACAAAGCTCATATTACGAAGTGGGGATCATGACTGATTTACTCGGATCCGCGTACTA